GATCAGTTTCATATCCGATCTTCTTGCATGATCAAGCCGTAGTATCTGCTCCTTTCAATTACATATCTGGTCCATCGAGACCTTTCTATTTAAAAAAAAAAAAAGCAAAAGCACTTGCGAACGAGAGAGAGAGGAAGAGAGAGAGAGAGAGAGAGAGAGAGAGAGAGAGAGAGAGAGAGAGAGAGAGACACCCACTCGAGCAAGTGCAGTATCTGCTTCGACCAGTTCCGTGGTTCATTGAGACGGTTAAAAATGGGGAAAAAAAAAAACAAGCGCGCCCAAGATGCGGGAGAGACTAGAGAGAGAGCGAGAGGGAAAGAGAGAGAGACCCCAGTCTAACTAACTATGCGCGAGCCTCCTCCCCCCCCCCCGACCGACGATCAAGTGTAGTATCTGATCCATGGTCCAAAAAAAAAGCACACGCGCGCGAGAGAGAGAGAGAAAAAGAGAAACTCGACCATCCCCCCGCGATCAGGTGTAGTATCTGTTCCGGTCAGCTTCATATATGATTTGTGGTCGATCAAGACCTTCAAAAAAGAAAGAAAGAAAAAAAAAAACGAAAAATTCAAAGTCCGTTCACGCAATGATCAGTTCAAAACAAGGGAAGCATGAGCGATTTCGGAAATAAAAGAAACCGGAAACACAAGCGATTTCGGGAAAAAAAATATAAAGCGAAGCAGGCGCGTGCATGCACACAGCCACAAGAGGTAAGACGCACACACACACACACACACACACACACACACACACAGAGTAAGTGGGGAGTCCATTAACTTCTTGGCAAACATTCCATTTTTATTTCGGGCGTAGCCGCAACAGGTCCCCTAGTTCCTTTTGACCTGTTCTAAGTCCTTCTCGCACTGGATAGCGAATATATGGTACGAGGCGGCAGCCTGTGAATCTGATCCGGGTTCAGACAGTCAATCGGACGCCGGGGTTGCCAAGCTCTGTGCAGTTCATTGGGGGTGAGTGCAGTAGACAAGTGCACCGAGTTATACAAAGACTGCACTTCGGGAAGATGTTCGTCGCAATCGATCTGGTCGGGCCTAATGTGAAACGGTATTCACCAATTCGCAGTAGCTGATGCAGATCCCAGGGCTCGATCCCTTGTTCCTACCTTACCTGTGTACAGTATCTGTGTCGGCCCTTAAGAGTTGAACCCGTGACCTGTGTATTTGTAACAGTGGTAGACTGTCGTTGGGTCCTGAGGTCGCAAGGGTTCGATCTGTAGACCTGCCGAGTAGGAGTCTTAGTCAGGTCTAGAAGTCGTAGCTGTAGCTTTCCCAAAAGGTCAAGGTCGTAGCGGCTACAGTCCAGAAGGGTCAAAGTCGTAGCTGCTACAGTCACGAATGGCCAAGTCCACGGCCTTCCGGAAGGTCCCAGTAGTGGCCTTTCGAAGTTGCCCACGTTTAGACTGAGGCAAGTGGGCAAGTGGCGAGGCAAGTGGTCAAGTGGTGGAGTCTATCGGTGCAGAGTCAGCAGTCCCGCTCTCCAGTCAGTCTTGGTCCTGCCAAGCAAGTACCGCATGGGACTGTGTGCACTTCGGGCATGGGAAAGGGCCAGACCAACGAGCTGCAGAAGTATAAATCAAGAGGCAGCGCCCAACCATTTTCATTCCTGCGTGAGCCATGCGGACGCGCTGCCAGAGCGACTTGTGCAAGGTCTGCAGTGAGCCCGAAGACGAAGTGGGCAGAGAGACGAAGCTTAGCCATAGCGATAGGGTGGAGGCGGCCATAGCCGCCATAGCTGTAGTTGGAGTTCAGTGTGTGTGTGTGTGTGTGAGTGTTCAGAGAACCGCGTGTGGGATATCCAGGGTGATCCAGTGTATGCGAACAGAGAGTTGTTTGGGCGCTGTGTCGCCATAGCCATTGAAAGTGAACTCGTATCTGGGTTGCCATATCTCTGAGTTTTAAGTGGGGCATGTCGCCAGTTTGCTGCGCTAATGTTTTTTGCATGCGTGTAAAGTGTGAAGGAAAGCGAGTCTGATTGCATTGGTATCGGAGCTGGTACCCGCTATTCCACGCGCCGTGATGTGTGTCGCAGGGAGAGTGATGTGCTAAAGCGAAGTGGCCGACGAAGAAGAAGTCTGCCATAGCGGACACTGAGGTTGAAGAAGCCGCCGCGCGCACGTGCAGAGAAGCCCACGGCGAAGAAGAAGACCAAGAGAGAGAGAGAGAGAGAGAGAGAGAGAGAGAGAGAGAGAGAGAGAGAGAGAGAGAGAGAGAGAGAGAGAGAGAGAGAG